GATTACTTCATTTATTTCTGTGATGTGTATGATTTCCTTTATCCATCTCTTCTGTTTTAAAGTTACCACTGTAAATCCCAATTTTCTTCTTTAACTCATGTGCCTTAACATCTTCTATCTTACCTCCACATGCCAGTTCTAAACAGCTTTTTGGTCAGTGGTATGTTTCTGTGTAGCTCTAGAGATGCTTTCAGTTGAGTCACTCTTCAGAAAAACTAAAAACTGGGTGAAGGAACTTGCTGTCGAGTGCCCCGAAAGATGACATAAGCCTTTTATATTGTCACTCCACTATCTCCATGTGGTGTTTGCATAAGGGAGGGAGTTGGCAGTTGACAGGCAATGGAGGGGGGCTTCATGTGCTGATCCCTGGTTACAGAAATCGCCCTGTAAAGAGGTGGAGGCCCATCACTTCTAAATAGTGTTGGCTTCGTCTATGCACACGATTCATAGAACCAAACTCCTAAAGAGGACCTTTACTCTCTCCTCTTCTGGAGTTACACAGGGTGAAAAATGCAAGGTGTCTTTGAAGTTCACAGTCTGCCAGCAGAGTGCAACTGCAGTGAAGTGTTTCTTGAGAATAAGAGGATGATGTTTTAATGGGCTGCTGAAAGGAAGTCTCTGAATGTTGCCTCGGGTTATGTTGGACTTTTTAGAGCTTCTCAGTGGGACCCTGGAGAACCAACCTCTTTTAAATTCTGTTCTACTTGTGGACCACAATAAGAAAGAAAGGGCTGTGTATTTTACTCCTCGGCCTTCAGTGGCGTCCCACCTGAATAAAACTACCTCTTAACACCATCATTATGACGCCACGGCAATAGAAACCATCAGTATTGTGCAGAAAGGCAGCAGAGCAGGACGTTGCATCGCAGACAGGTATCTCATGTAGCGAGCATGAATGCCATCACTAAAACAAGAAACCCAGTTAAAACAATTCAACAAGTCTCCTTTCACTGCAGCCACAGCTGCACCATATACATCACATCTAACAGGAGCATCAATATCAACCCAATAAAATGACAAAAATATGTATTTTACTCACCAAAACTTGTTATTATTTGAACACAAACTCCATCCTCCTTTCTTTCATCATAGAGAGTTCAGTCACTCTGTTGAGCAGGTAATTTGTTCATTTCACTTCCAACAATACGTCCTGTTCTATCTTCATGGAGGCTGAAAGTCAGGTCTGTCCAGCTGTGTTTCTGCCATAAGTTTGAATTTGCTTTAGGGCTGAGAATGTCTGTTTGTTTAACTTAAAAAATAAATAAATAAATACTTTTACGATAAAGTTTTAGCTTGTGCAGGTCGATACAGACTGGGACCACCAACTCTAAATCTGATTGGTTAAAGCAACAGTTTCATTGCAACGCATTTTAAGCTACAGCTGCCTTCACTTTTGATTCTGAAGGCCTCAGGGCAGATTTCTTTGACCCTGGCAACACATGATGGCTGAAATATGATTGGATAAAAGCTCTAATATAAACATACACTGCTGGAAACACCACAGCCCAGAGACACACTATGAAATATAGAGAATAAACTATTGGGAATAATGTAAAAAGAGTAATGGGAAAATATTACAACATAAGTCAGTGATTCTAATAGAGTTAAGGCCAGCAGAGAAGGCCTTGCTGGCCCTGATGGCACACCACTGCCATAACTAATACCGTGTTCAAGCATAAAGCTGTTTATGAACACATAACCTTAGGCCAATGGTCTATTTCTAGCTGTATTTTCATCAGATCTACAGTCACAGCTCTTGGATCAGGGGGTGAGTTATGCTGCAGGTTCACCTTAACATGTAGTTAGGCTGAATAGGAATGTTATTCTCAGGTTTAGATCATTAACTTCAAGAACCTCAACTTTCACGTCGAGGATGTTTTTTTTCTTGCATAGGGGGAGAGACAGGGAACTGGAGGCCTAGAGGGGCACGCTCAAAGCCCATTGTATAGAATGACTGCTGGAACTCATGGTCAGAGGGAGGTCAGTGTTATACTGGCAGCAACCAAACAACCAACAGCTGAACAAGTGGAGATGAAGACCAAACAAACAAACAAAAAAGGAGGTTCGTTTAGTTGGTTGGCTGAGGGCACTGCAGTCATTGAAAGCTGGGGGAAGCTATGAATGAAAATATCTGAAAACAACTAGCCTGGAAATGTGGTTTGATAAATGCCTGTGTTGCATGGAGAGGTGTAGGTAGCATGGTGAGGCATGTGGAGGATAAAAAAACTGGCACAGAAAAAGGTGCTGCTAAAACAAGAGGCCATTGATTTGCAGCCTCCTAAAGAAGAAATAACAAGGGAAAAGCTTTCAAGCAATTACTTACACGCAGTGCTGCATCATGCTACCTTCAGGACACACCATATCTAGCTTCCTTCCCAGTATGTACTGGGCAGGGGCGGGGCTTGTCCTCCTCGTTCAAACTGACCAATCAGCTCAGAGCTCTAGAAGGGCGTTGTCAAAGTTAACACATGATTTTCTGAAGTTTTTTTTTGACAAAAATGCTCCAATTCACTGATACACAATCAGTCATCAATACTGAACATTGAAAAACACCAACACATTTGTGCTCTCTTCTATATTTAATTTACTTACTTTGAGTTTCACCACACATCTATTATCCAATCAGATTTGAGACCCCACCTACTTATCGCTTCTTAGAGCTCCAGCACAAGATGGGTGAAGACTGTACAAACGTCATGTCCTTCAAATAGAGTGTTTTTTTGGTTTTTTATTTGTTTTTTAATCAGACAAATCATCTGAGCTTTAGGAAGAAGTCTGTAGCCACTGGAATTTTACAGTTATATGAAGTAAACAGTAAAGGTCCATATGAGGCTTGTTAGGTCTGGTAGGGGGCTAGTGCGTCTGAATGGCATACTCTGTTGTGTAGTGATGCTTTATGGCTTTGTGGTGGCTCAACCCATGATTGCTTCGTTTGTGTTTCTGCCTGGTCTCAGCAGGATTATGTAACATTTGGGGCCAAACAATATCACCAAGATGCCAAAACTGGAGGCAGCGATGGCAAATACCTCCAGCTGTATTTACATATTTGCATGGGGAGTTGACATATGATGTGACAAAGATCACCCAAAACAACACTTGAGACTGGAACCACCTCCCGCCTTAGAGGCCTTGAACACAGCCAGACCCACCGTAGTCTTAGCCAGGACACAGAGCTGGTCCTAAATGCTGCATGTCTCAGTTGGCTTGTCCAATAAACACAGTGAGTACAAGAAGAATTGTTTGAAAGACACCAAGGGAAGCAAACTCAGTTCTGAATTGTTGGTGTGGCTGATAATAGGTGAAGGTTCTCAGGACAGCAGCGCTGATAAATGTGCTCTGCAGTGAGGTTGTTAAACAGACACCCAGAGGCTCTTAGGAACACAGCTGTAAACTTCAAGTATAAAAAAAAAGTAGGACTGGTTATGGCTCCCTGCACAGGTCTCATCTAAAAGAAACTGCTCCTCCTGGCCAGTGAACAGTAACAATGAAGCACAAAACGCAATTCCAAGTCGGTGAAGTTATTATATAGACTGTATCTCAGAGTCACAGTGGGTAGCAGGTTGGAGTTGATTTCATCAGTAGCAAAGACCATGAATCTGAGTATGCTTAAAGCCCCCATTTTTATTCTATTTTGTTTTAAACCAAATATAAAAAATCCTGATGACTGTGATGAGAGCAATGACAATTCTTAACATATTATCCTGTTTTCTATCTTAAACACAAAAAAATCAGCACAGATTTCTGGTTTGACTATTAAACTCACGCCTGGTACTTTGGCTGATAGACTCTGAGGTAATATCAGCTCTGCGGTGACCCTTACAAACCCGCTCAGAATGATGCCAGCAACTTTGTGCATCACCTTTACATAAAATTGTTTCCTTAAATTCAAAATAAGGAGCAACAGGAAAATACAGACAAGAAGAAAAGACCAAAATTGTATTCAAGTTTCAGCAAATGTCCCATTAACTGAACTGTTTTCAATTTTTTTTTTTTTGCACAGTCACTTCATTTTACATACAGGACTATGTCAGCCCCTTCATGTCATTGTTTAATTATTTACACCAATCATTTTTGCCAGTGATGTAGAGGCAGAGTTGAATACACATGAAGAAGCCATAATATGGCCCATTCTGTTATCGTTCCATGAGCACATTAGCATTTTTTAACAAATTAATGAAATAAATTGTGACGTATAAAATCAGTGAAACTAGTTGCGATCTGCACATTTAAATGGGTCAAGCACATTGCATGTAGGAACATGTTTTAAAACTGTGAATCAGCCATAAACATACTGAAATTTGTATTATGTACTCTAGTTTTACAGTACGGAGCCCAGTAGGTGGCAGCAGATTACCAAGACATTCTTTAAGGTCTCTAAAGGACGAGTGAAAACCAGTTTATTTAAAAATAAGCATCTACAAAGAGACTACCACTATTTCAAACGCTAAGATCTACTATTGCCCAGCGCTACTTGTTTTTTTTTAGCATGTTCCTGGTATTTGTTCTTTCACAATCTTAAAACAGTTTAAAAATTAAAATCTCATCGTTCAAATCCATTTACATTTGTTAGGATTTCTAGTAATTTCTAGAAGCGTTAAAATGGTCCCATAGTAAAATTCTACTGTTTTGTAATTCATATTCTCCTGACGATCAAGCAAAAAATAAAACTTTTTCCTTCTGTTTTTAAAAACTTGAAAAATGTGTCTGTTATTTTTTATAGTCCAAACTACTAATTGTATGACTCATAGAGCCATGTCTCGCCCTCTTCTCGATTTGGTTGCTTTCACCGTGATTGGTTGATCTGGTGATGACTCACAATGTATGAAATGATGCAAGTATCACGGTTTTTAACGGAGTCGTACACTTTAATCAGCCCGTCACAGACTATGTTGAAGAGACCAGTGTGTCAAGCCCACACAGTCTTTATGGGGTCAGTATGGACAATGCACCCAAACCTTGTTGGGACTCACTGGCTGCTCTTTTGTGTCTCCTTTAGCTTTATGTTTTTTGCGTTCACTGGTGTAGCTCATGCTGTAGATGACAGTGTGGAGGGAGGTGTTGTGGAAAAAGAAGAGGCTGTAAAACAGACACTAAACAGTTTGGGGATAAAGGGAGTGAGCGCTGTTGATCCGAGTTTATCTCAGTGTGTAAAACTGGGAGACAGCGAGCCTCTGGCCTTGCACTCGGAGGGTGATGTTGTGATCGGAGGGGTTTTCCCTCTGCATTATGTCGCCTCTAATCCACAGCACAGCTACCGCGTCAAACCCCAGATTACACCTTGCAGTGGGTGAGTGTGAGGTTACTGCTGATATCTGCTGTTTTTTTCATATTGGTTTGCTTTTTCATCGCAGCACATTCAAAAATCTCACATGTATAGATGTGTCTTCATCTTGTTTTGATATCTCCATGTTTCTCCTTTGCTGTCTACATGTAAAACTCTATATTGTTGTGATACTGAATCATAGTGTTTCATAAGGAATTACTATGTTTTTCTGCAGCTTTGACCACAGAGCCTTCCGCTGGATGATGACTATGGTGTTTGCAGTCGAGGAAATTAACCGCAATTCGAGCTTGTTGCCAGGTGTTAAATTAGGCTACCGGATCATGGACAGCTGTGATCATGTCCACACCAGCCTGCGAGCTCTTTTTTCTTTAGTCAGTCACTCCAATGCTGCGACGAGCGAGACCAGACAAATGGGAGAAACTGAAAACAGATCAAAAATGAAAAAAGATAGCGGCATTGGAATGGAGCGAAGAAGCCAGAGGATGCTGAAAAAGCGAGGCGGTGAAGTGAACACAGCAGTGCCTCACCATCTTGAAATTGCACTGGAGGAGATAAGGACGACACAATCTGAAAGTTCCTCCTGTCTGTCTGATTCTCCTGTGCCTGCTGTGATTGGCCTCGCATCCTCTTCCCCTACGAGAGCTGTGGCACACACTCTGGGCCCTTTCAGCATCCCACTGGTAAGAAATGAGCAAAAAGAAAAAGATCATGCACCGTATTTCATTCACACATGAGCTGCTGTCTTTTTCTTTCCTTCTCTATCACTTGTTTATGTAATAAATCACACAGTAGCATTTAAAAGTTAAACAACTTTAGTAAAGATGAAATTAATTCTGCGTCCTTCTAGGTGAGTTATTTCGCCACTTGCACCTGTCTTACGGACAAACATATGTACCCATCATTCCTGAGGACTGTTCCGAGTGACTTCTTTCAAGTCAGAGGTCTGGTGCAGCTGGTTACATTCTTAGGCTGGCTCTGGGTGGGCACTATGGGGACCACGGTGAGAGAAAACCTCTTTTTTTTATTAATAACTCCCCAACAAAGTCAGTTAGCACTCCAACTTAATTTGCAAATCATTTCTGTATATATTCCAGGATGACTACAGTCACTATGGCATCCAAGCATTCTCTAATCAGTTTAGACAACAAGGTGGATGTGTGGCGTTTCATCTCACTATCCCCAAATCACCCACAGCGGCTGAGATACAAGAAATGGCAGACGAGCTGCAGAGTTCAGCTGCACAGGTCGTGGTGGTCTTTGCTACAGAGGGACAACTGCTGGATCTGCTGTTAGAAGTAAGTTGATCACGAAGCTTTTATGCAGTGTTTAATTTGAATATATGACAGCAAAGAACATCTAAAGAATTGCTGTTTGTGGTAATTTTAAAAGTTCTTTATCTATGTTTTTTCCAGCTGGCTCAGAGAAACGTGACAGGGATACAGTGGGTAGCTAGTGAAGCCTGGGTGACTGCAAGACTGCTCACCTCACCCCACTTCCACCCTCTCCTGGAGGGAACACTTGGCTTCTCTTTCCCTGGAGTCAAGATTCCTGGCTTGAAAGAGTTTCTTTTGAATGTCCGCCCATCTCCCAAACCAGGGATGGAATTTGTCAACATGTTCTGGGAGGAGCAGTTTGGTTGTAAGCTAGAGTTTGGAGGAAATAGATCCAAAGAAAGTGACGCAGATATGCATAACTTCAATGATTTGAATGCTTTTGATCTTAAATCAGACCCTCAAAATAATTCTGTGTCCTTTGTCCGGCCTCCTGTTGGGCTAAAAAGCTTATTTAACTTGTCGCCTCGTGAATATGAAGGTGCTGCTGAAAATCCTGCATGCACAGGCTCAGAGGATCTGAGGTACACAGACAGCAGCTACACTGATGTATCTCAGGTCAGGATATCTTATAATGTGTATAAAGCCGCATATGCCATCGCCCACGCTCTGCAAACTTTATTGAACTGTGATTCTGCAGGGCCGAACAAGAAATGTACGAAGCACAAATCGTTTACTTCTGGGCAGGTAGGGGAAACAAAACGTGTAACTCAATCTTCATGTGATCAAGTTTTCCACCTTAATTCTTTAGTTTCTTTCATTTTCTTCTCCTACAGCTCCTGCATCACCTGAAGACAGTGAATTTCACAAACCAGTTTGATGAGAAAGTATATTTCGACTCCAGCGGAGAGCCAGTCCCTCTCTATGACATAATTAACTGGCAGAAGAACAGCAAGGATGAAATTAGGTAGAATATTGTACTTCTTGAAGATGCAGCAATTTAACTATCCGTTTAAGTGATCGTGATTAAGAAGCTTTACATATATTTTTTGTTACTATCTGAGCATTTAGATGAGTTGTGATGCAAAACTGAGTCACATATTGTTGTATTGTTGCTTAGATTTACTAAAGTGGGGAGCTATGATGGTTCAGCTCCACGAGGGCAACAACTGAAGATAGAGCAGAGCACCATTGTTTGGACAAAAGGGCAGTCACAGGTGGGTCACGTGTATCCTAAACTGATTTCATATCCATATACACTCTTTATTACACTGCATGACTTGTGCAGAGGGAACGTTGTGTTGCTCAGCTCTTCACTTTTCTGATCATTATTCAGGTGCCTGTATCTCAGTGTAGTGCTCCATGTCCCCCCGGCAGCAGACAGGCCAGACGTCCCAGAGAGCCCCACTGCTGCTTTGACTGTTTGCCCTGTGCAGACGGAGAGATCAGCAACCAGACTGGTATGTTTTGTTTATTCCTACATTTTCCAGAAGGGGATTTAGGTGCAGCGCATTTCACAAAGTCATCAACCCAAGTGGAAGTGGAGTGTTGACTCGCCATGTGTCTGCTTTACGTGTCCCCAAAGGTTCCACCGAGTGCACCAAATGTCCAGAGTACTACTGGTCAGACAAAGAGAAGGTAAAATGTGTCGCAGGTGTCGAAGAATTCCTGTCTTTCCGCGAGACCATGGGTATCATCCTGGTTGCGCTCACCCTTCTGGGTGTCGTCCTGACAACCATCATCACTATCGTCTTTTACCGTTTCCGCTCCACACCCATCGTCAAGGCCAACAACTCAGAAATAAGCTTCCTGCTTCTCCTCTCGCTCAAGTTCTGCTTCCTGTGCTCCCTGATGTTCATTGGCCGGCCGTCGGTGTGGACGTGCAGGCTCCGCAATGCGGCGTTCGGGATCAGTTTTGTTCTCTGTCTGTCCTGCCTCCTTGTTAAGACCATTGTGGTTCTCTTGGCTTTCCGGGCAAATTTATCAAGTTCCAGAAGTCTGAAGCTGTTTGGTCCATCTCAACAGAGGGCTCTGATTCTCTTCACTACAGCTCCTCAGGTGGGGAGGACATAGATCACTAATGATCACCTGAATTTATACATTTTTTTCTAAAGATCTTTCTATCCTCAGATTTGTCTCTGTGCTGGCTGGCTGCTGGCTGCACCTCCCGTCCCATTCAGGAACCCAACCTACCAAGCCTCAACTGGAAAAGTAAGATTGACTTGCTTTAAAACTGCTTTTATTTTTATTTTTTTGGTTTGTTTTACTGCCATCAAGAGTACACATAGGGGCATTAATGTACATAAGCATACAAAAAAAAAGTTCTCCGTGTTAAATATACTGATTGATCTGTTTAATGTGTTGTTGGACTTAATTAGATTGTTGTGGAGTGCAAGGAGCTGTGGCCTCCAGGATTTTACCTGGTCCTCGGTTACATTGGCCTGCTGGCCTTCGTCTGCCTCCTTCTGGCGTTCCTCGGACGGAAGCTGCCCGATACGTTCAACGAGGCGAGGCTCATCACCTTCAGCATGTTGATTTTCTGGGCCGTGTGGATCTCTTTCATCCCTGCTTACGTCAGCTCTCCTGGGAAGTTCTCTGTGGCCGTAGAGATATTTGCAATATTGGCCTCCAGCTTTGGACTGTTACTGTGTATTTTTGTGCCTAAATGTTACATAATTTTAATGCGACCTGAGAGAAATATTAAGAAAGGCATCACTGGAAAATACCCCAGATGAACTCATATCCTGTATGTCTTTGGTGTCCATCAAGATGATGTAAACAAAGGCTTTTTTAATCTGTCATCATGAATCAAATAGAAATTTTAATATGTTTGAATATTTAAATGTGGCATAATAAAATGTTATATTAAACATGTTTCCTTTTTTTTTTCTTTTCCAGTATAATGCGTCAAATAGGAACCTGACTAAAAAATACCTTATTGTTAATATAAACAGAGTGGTGGTATATGTTTTTTTCTATTACTACTTATGAGATTTCTGCAATTACAAAAGCATGTTTTGTTTGTTTTGTACTTCTCTATGCAGTGTAGACTCCATGTCAGTCTATGCCAGGACCTTTAAGGGCCTTTGCTGAGTCATTTGAGAGCCCGAGTCGTATTTAGGCACCCATTACAGACCTCACTCAAAACTCTGCATCTTTGAACATAAGGTTATCGGATCCTCTTTGTGAAACCTTAGTGACTTGAACTGTGGCATAATTTGCTGGAGCCTTTCAGATACACAGTTTCTCCTTCAATACAAAAGCAGAATGGGAGGCCTACTGACATCACAGAAACACGTGAACTCCTGCATATTCGATTGAATGCCTTCCTTTATTAATTTGAAAGGAAAAATCTGCAGTATGGCTATTGCACATGAAAGAAGTGTGCAATTAAGGCTCCTAAATCAGTTACAATGGCTCTACATCAACACAGCATGTTCTGATCTGACGAACTTGACCCTTGGTTTAATCAATCCAACCTTTAATCATGCTCATATTTGTGCACAACTGTACACTGTTCTTGTGATTCTTGCCCTGATATCTGTGTCATGCTCCATGGTCCTCCCTCTTTGTGCATTTCATTCTCAAGATTATGGTGCAAAAGCAGATAAACCATTTATTCATAATACAGTATATATTTATCACAATCCACCTTTTTCTATAAACAACATATTTTTGTGTGAGTACCCTTAGTGTAAGAGTTTGAGCACACATTGCTGTAATTTACAATATATATTCACAATACGCATCATTGTGTCATTCAAGATTCATGATTAAAGATTCATTTCATTTCTAGAGTATTTTCATAAACAAAACACAAGATGCTGTTCTAACAGTACAGGACAAATAAAAATAATAAATACCAATAGACAACTATAAAAATACAGCTAAGAAATAGAGGTTTCAAAAAATGTCTAAATCATTTGGATTCATACAGTTTACTCAGTAATTATGGATTATATGGTTTTCTTGTCTACTATTTGCAATTCCAAACTCACTGACCTAGAATCAATCCTAAACTAAAGTTTACTGGTATAGCAGTGGAGTGAATGAGTGGAAGGTTTTTTTGTTTGTTTGTTTTCAATGAACTGAGCCTCAGAAACTCAAAAGAACATTTACTGCAGAATGTCTTTATTATTTTGAAATTTCCAATTATTGGACACACTAATTACACATTTATTATGTGGTGCACTCTACTAAAATCACTATGGTGTAACATCAGTTGTATGCATGTCACTGCACAGTCAATACAAAAGTGAAATAAATATGTAAAGATATACCATTGATCATTCAATAGACATTTCTGATGTTTTATTTAATAGGATAACATAGACATGCTACTTCTTTTCTTTTCCCATTAGATGCTGTTTTGTATTTTTTTCTGGCTTCAGTAGAATAATGTAACACTTTGGAGCGAACAGGCAGAACAGCAGGCCAAAGCTGGAGGCCAGAATGGCAAATGACTCCACTGCGTCTGCATAGTTTCCAGGTGAGCTGATGTAAGCGGGGATGAATGCCAGCCACACAGCGCAGAAGATCAACATGCTGAAAGTGATGAACTTGGCCTCATTGAAGTTGCCCGGCAACTTCCGGGCGAGAAAGGCCAGCACAAAGCAGAGACAGGCTTGCAGACCAATATATCCCAGAACGCACCAGAAAGCAAGACTAGATCCCACACTACACTCCAGGATGATCTTTGAGCGTTCGTATTTAGTATTCCGGGATGGATAAGGGGGAGCGTCAATTAGCCAAGCGGCACAGATGACCACTTGAACCAGAGTGCAGCTAAAGATAATGGCCCTCTGCTGCTTTGGACCCAGCCACTTCATGATGTTGTTGCCTGGCCTGGTGGCAGTGAAAGCAGCCAAGACCACCAGAGTCTTTCCAAGGATGCAAGAGATGCAGAGTGAAAATGTGATGCTAAAGGCAGTGTGGCGGAGCATGCAGGACCAGAATGTGGGCTCTCCGATGAAAACCAGAGAACAGAGGAAACACAGCGTCAGCGCGAAGAGGATGAAGAAGCTGAGCTCGGAGTTGTTCACACGGACGATGGCTGTGTTTCTGTGGTGGAAGAACACCGCAAAAACGGCTATAGTGAGGCAGGCACCCACCGCAGAGATTACCGTCAGGGCTATACCCAAAGAGTCATAGGCCAGAAACTCCACCTTCTTGGGGATGCAGGACGTTCTGTCTTCATTTGACCAGAAGTTCTCAGGACAAAATGTGCATTCTATTGAATCTAAAAAAACAAAGACGGTCACAAAAAGAGCAACTCATTTGAACTAACTGGTTGCAATTGCGATAGGATTAAATATGAGTTATTGGGGTTTTTATTCCCTGTGTTAAAACTCACTTGTCTGATTGCTAGTTTTGCCACTGTCACATGGTACACAGTCAAAGCAGCAGACAGGCTCCCCACGACGGACAGCCTTCCTGGACCCTGGAAGACAGCTGGCACTGCATACAGACACCGGCACCTGCACAGACAGGAAACATATTAAAGCGGAATCAATTATTGATTTAGTAAAATGCACATTTTCTTTTTTACATTTTATGCTTATACCTATCTACTTATGTTTATATTTTTAGGACATGGTTTCAAACACTTTCAATCAGAGCAACTGCTGCGGAGGCAATAACCCCTCTGGGATCAATTAAGTATTTCTGATTTTCATATTAATTTGAAAAGGAAACTCAGGATTAGCCACTTTTAAAATATTTCAGAACTACATTATTTGGTCAGGCTATATCATCCAGCTAGAACTGTGCTGTTATAAAAATGCTTTTAGAGCAAAATTTTCTTTTAGTTCTCAAAACGTTGTTCTTCAAGGCACACTAAAGTTCTCTGAAGAGGCTCTAAGAATGTTCTTCAAACATTTTCTGAATGTTGCATTGAGAATGTCCATCCTTTGTTTTTATGTAACATTGTGGAAATGTTTTATAGAAAAACGTTCCCAACAGCAGCATCCCAAAAACATCCTCAAAACATTGCAAGCAAAAGGTTCTACATTTGTTATTATCTTACATTACAGGAACGTTTCTATAGAGAACATTGTGTCATCAGAGGCCTTGAAAATATTTTGATTTCTTTTTCTTTTAATGTTGGTTTGACAAAGTTCTTTTGTGATCTTGTAACATAATCTGACAACGTCCTCCAAACATCCTCTGAATGTTTTTTATTTATTTTTTTGTCTTAGTCAACTTGTAACCTCATAGGAACATGATTGGAACCAGTAAATATCCTTAAAACATTCCTTAAACTTTATATACATTTTTTTTCCCCTACTTTTAAACATTTTTAGAACATGTAGGTAATGTTAGCAAATGTTGCAGAAAGGTTCCCTGCTTACTGGGAACTGAGAAGAAACTGGTGTAGATGCTTATCTGCGATTGGCCCACTGAGAAGTGGATTATACGCTCCAGCTTTGATGATCTACTCTTTATTATAAGAATGCAAAGGGACCCACATCAGATCCAGACTGTCCTGCCCACCTGACTTACCTCCACCTCAACCTACAGAACTTCAACAGTTGGCATCTGATGAAGGTAAAAACACAGTGTGAGCAGCTTGCCTCACTCTGATGCCCCGCCCACATTATCCTGTCCTCCTGGATCACCAGCTCATCTCCAGCAGGCTTGGTTCCGTCAAACAAGCCCACGTTGACAAATTCAATGTTCCCGCTTGTGCCTCTTTGCCAGTTGATAACGTCATAATAAGGGATGGAGTCGCCCTTCAGGTCAAAGTTCACCTCTTCCTCTGCAATGGTGAACTTGACTTCCTGGAGGTAGTGCTGCAGCTTCAAAACCAAAGTTTATTATGAAATACACTAAAATACCTCAAACAAGATATCAAATACAAAACTGTAACAGTAAGAACTGGATTATACCTGCCAGGGGAGTATGCTGTTGCTTAGAGCACATGAGTTGTTCTGAAAGGGTCCACTGCCTGGTTGGCAACGAAGAAGGTTGTGCAGGGAATGAGCGACAGCATATACAGCCTTATAGACATTATAGGCCACTCTGGGGCTGGATGTATTCATGTAGGCTGAATGCTGTTCCAACAGAGACTCCTGTCCTGAACAAGGCGACAGCTGGGAGGCAGAGGACAGAGAAGGACTGCAACCGTACAGAGCCTCCCACAGCTCCTGCACCAGAGGATTGTTGGGATAATTGTGAGGGTTTACTGTCTGCAGATAGTCACTGAGTCTGGAGATCTGACCTTTCCTGATGCCAAACCCAATGGTGCCTCCCAGGTAGGGGTAATACTCGCTCCCGGTGAAGACAGACGCTGTGACCCAGGCCTCGCTGGCCACCCACTGGATTCCGGTGATGTTTTGTGCCATGTAGTCTCTCAAGAAAGGTGTCATTTCCCCCTCAGCTGAAAACACCACCACTACTTTTGCCAAAGAGCTGCGCATCACCTTTGTGGGGAAGTACACGAAAGATGAAAGAAAAAGAAAAAAGAAAGCAGATTTAAACTTAGTGACATAGATCCAGACTTATAGTTGCAATATACGTTACATAACATTTAACAATATACCATTTGAAATAAGTACATTCGTTAAAGTTCTGACATTTAGGATTTGAACATTTCTAAATTTGGTGACACCTAAAAGAGAATGCCAGTACACACCAATATGCCCTTTTACTCCTGTGCATGGACTGTTGCGACACTGACATAAATAGGCTAAAAGTCCACTATCTCAGTGCAACAGTTTCCAGAATTGTCAATTTTTTGGACAAATAGCAGCAAAAATTCTACACATGGAGGGTTTAATAGCACAAATCACAGCACTATGTCTGGTGCTATAAAACCTAAGTCAGTGCTTCCTTCTATCTACCTCCATGATCTCCAGTGCCCTCTGCTGATTGTAGAGCAGAGGGATCATTTCTTGGTACGCCACACACACTTTAGTGCCCTGTAATTCCCTCAGTAAGCCTTGCACAGCGAAACGGCCGTATTCATGGTCCCCTCGCACGAGCCCCACCCAGGTCCAGTTGAAGCGAACCAGCAGCTGAGCGATGGCCTTTACCTGGAGTTCAACAGAAAAGAACTCACTTGGTCTCAGAACTGTAGTTAATTGACATTATTTGAATAATAAGTGTGAATTATTTGCTTTTGATTTGATATTTCACTGCAAAGTATTATGAAATGTGTATGTTATACAGTGAGAAGATAGAACATCTAAATGTTTGGATTACCTGCTGGGTTAATCTCAAAATCTTCAATTGATTCTAATGCATAACAGGACAAGGACATAGCAGTGATCTTAGTAAATTATTTGTATCAAGCTTAATGTCTTGAGAGGGTTTTTACAGAATTGTTTTTTCTTTCTTTTTTTTTTTTTTTTACAAATATAACATTTTTTACTGTAGCACTGGCATATTGTCCGACTTTTAAATGTGATTTCAAACTCTTACCTGATAGTCATCATTGGGGATAACTCTGAAGAAGGTCGGATATTTTCTTCTGTCAGTTAAACAAGCACACGAAGAAAAGTAGCTGATCTGTGTAAAGCAGAGCACAGTGTAGATCACAAAATAACATCAAGGTTTGGGGGATTACAGAGGATAAGAGTCAACACTACCATTGGGATCCTGAACGGCTGCAGGATTCTTGACACCACGATGGACTGAGCAGAACCAGACTCTCCAATCACAGCAAGAAGCGGAGAAGAGCTGCTGCACATGGGAGAGTCATCCTCGCTCAGCCCGTTCAGCACAGCCAGAGCAGCCCTCTGGCCGGTCAGCGGATACGCACATGAATCAAAGATTTTGTACCCCAGGGTGTAATTGGGCAACAGCTCTGGACTCTGGTTTATCTCCTCCACTGCCAGCCTCATGGTCTGAGCCCAGCGGAAAGCCCTGGGATCAAATCTGTAGCTCAGCAGGCGCAGATGCACACGCCACAAACACGCATAGAACACAGCAACAGTGGAGGAAAAGCAAAATCAGAGGCTGAGATGTTGTCATGATTTAAGGAATTAATGCATTTTCATCTGTAGCCTCTTTTCCCCCTCATTTTCTCATCCTCATTTCACTTATGGGTCATTCAATTGCAACTGTTTAAAAAATTTCTATTTAAACTATAGATATGCATACGAATATTTGTGGAAATTTAGTTTGATATATCAAATACTTTTGGAGACAACATTAAAAAATGCATGTTGACTCACTTTCAGCATATTTTTTCCACACATAGAAATTTGAAGCTATGTTTAGATGAAAATATCTCAGGAACTATTAAAGATAAAAGCCTGAAATTGTCGCTGTTATTTCTCATAATTCCAGTGATTCAGCATCTGTAATATTAGATAAGTAGATCAAATACTGTCTAAATATGGATGAGTTGAAACATGAAAAATAATGAAGCTGAAGAATCCCACCTTTGAACACACATTAACAAAACAATCAATAGTCACAAGAATGCAAAAACTGTTGTAAAAATACATCCTGAAAGTATATTATATATATATCAAGTTAAAATTTCACAGATACAATTTAAATATATACAGTTTAGAATAAAGTTTCAAGCAAATCAGAGATAGACCCTGATGATTTAAGATAGAATAACCTTTTTATGTTACCGTATGTCTTTTTTTTTAATGCAGGTCTGTGACTTTAATTTAATTTTGTATTTTTTTTTAGGTGTTATGTTGAAAATACATGTAATTTAGCATTCATTTTAGAGAAAATACATGCATTTTTATGTACTGGTACACTTCTAAGTTGAAAAAAGTCATTTAAATAGTACTAAATTACAGGCTTTCTTGACCAAAACAGAATTGTAATCACTTGTAAGTTGCTTTGGATGGGTTACTCTGTTGCTTTGTGTCTCTTATTTTTTATTTACTCAGACCTGAATCTGAAACACAAAGTGCAGGTCAGGTCAGGACAGCATTGAATATATATTGGAAATGAAAGTAACACTGAATTCTGAATACATACATTCTGTGTAAGCAAGTCTATTTAACATGCCTTTGACATGTCAAAGCAACAAAATCACACATCATTTAGCTGGAAAAAAATAGGTTACACACTCTGCTGAGCTCACCCGTTGCACTTCACTGGTGGCGGTCTGTAGGTGCTGTTAAGATCTGGCATTTCCTGGTTATAGTGGAGGGGAAAGATCCCTCCGATAACAAAGTCACCCTTGGCCACAAAACTTGGCTCAAAGCTGTTTTGAAGAGTGCATACTGTGGCTGCAGATGTGACTGTGGAGGTAAAACTGGAAATTGAGTTGTAAGTTAAGGTGAGGACACTTACAGAGTAAAGAAAGAGAGATAATGCAAGCAAAGACATATTGTTACACATCCCCAAAGACAGAGAGGCAGAGAGAGAGAGAGAGACGGACGGCAAGAATAAGGCAAGTTATATACAGATGTGACCTTCCTGTTATTGATGACAGAGTGTCTCTGGATTGGACATCAGCAGCCCCACCTAATTTCTTTAAAGTAGGTTAATGCAGACTGATGAAATAAATGATTTAATCAGAGATAGAAATAAAAAACTAAAATAAACAGACTTTACAATTTAGGTTAATTTATGAGGACAAAATCAGTGCCATCCACTGATACAAATCCTACCTTACTGAAGGTTCTGTTTTGAATCGAATGGTTTTAAAGAGGAGAAAATTCAACTTTGTGGTCATTAAGCAGATGTTTTTCTTTCGACGTGTGTTTGATAATGGTTGGTTTATACAGAATTATTTGTTGTTTCTTTTGTGTTTCCCAGCGATGAACAAGTCAGATAAACTAGTCAATAAAAAAGTGAAAAACAAAGACGTCTGTGTCACATTGGGAGCTATCGCAATAGCAGCCCACCGGGACACAGACAAAGCTCACTGTTACACGAATGAGCAAAGCAGGTCCAGCCTAACGTCCAATAAGGAAACTGCAAAAGAGGCCACACATGCTGTTTTTCATTCCATGTTTCTATGTTTGATGAACCATACTTAAAGCTGTTATAGCTGTTAACACAGCTTGTGTATTGACTCCATTTTTACCAGCACGTTTTTTTCTCCTTTTATATGTAACTACAGTGATTTTATTCTGCACCACGAGTCCTGCAAAAGCAAACAGAACACATGCAGGGAAGACAGCGGTGGAGGATAAACGCTGATGTGTTGCTGAAATGCTGCTTTTACTACAAGGCCCCCACAGATAAAGTGTACGACAAAAGCTGTATGAATCTGAAAAAAAATAAACAAAAACACTACAGTCTAATAACAACAACAACAACAACAACAACAACAAGGACGACAATGCCAATAATAGTTACAAAGATGCCAATTACAACAACAGCAATAACAATGTCAACAACACTGGCAACAACAACAACAATGATGATGACAACAATAACAACAAAACCAATGACAATAACAACAGTAACTGCAATAACAATGACAATAACAGCAAAAATAAGTTAAGGCAATAACGGTCACAACAACAATAACAATCACGACAACAACACAAACAACAGCAACAACATTAACCATGTCAATGATGACAATAACAACAATAATGATGACAAGAACAACAATAACAACAACATCAACAATGGCAATAACAATAATAACATGACAACAACAATGACAATAACAACAACCAAGACGACGACGACGACGACAATAAAGCAATACCAGTGACAGTAGCAATCAAAATAATAACAATAACAACAATAATATTAAGCAGTTAAAATACATATATGTTATATACAGCAAGTGAAACTAAGCTGAGCTGATTATTAAAATATTTGTTTTCCATTTACTGTACATCACAACATCAGGTATTAGCCTCAATGACGTCACAGGAACTGTGTCTGGGCGGTTCCCTCAGATTTGTAGTATATAAATCAATTGTGCCCTAAAATATCAGAATTCTTTGTGTGTGAGGGTGGAAACACTTGTATATTCAGCCGTTGAAAGATCTGAGCTTTCCTTCAAACCGGGGCCAGTCATGGCTTTGCTGGCTGTAAAGCTTCTTATGTTTCTTCTTGTTATTAGCGGCAAACCTGGCTCAGCTGCTGCTCTGGATGACTGTGTTTTCTTGGGGGAAGAAGAGAAAAACAGTCTGTACGAAGATGGAGACGTAGTTGTAGGGGGCTTATTTCCTCTACATTACAGCCCTTTGTCCTCTCTTGTAACATATAATGCAAAACCAGCACCTACTATGTATAAATAGTAAGTTTTTGGTGATTCATCTGATTGGTTTACTTGTGTGGTACACACAGATTTCTTTTTGTCCAGGGCATTTATATAAGGATATTTGTAGTGTGTGATGAAATGCTTTTCCATTTTCTTTCTCAGTTTCAGCTCTCGTGCCTTGCGCTGGATGCAGACCATGGCTTTTGCCATCCAAGAAATCAACCAGCGCAGTGATCTCCTGCCACAGCTCAAGTTAGGTTTCCACATCCGTGACAGCTGTGACGACATACCCGTGTCTTTGAGAGCATCTTTGCTGTTGGTGAACGGCCAGCCAGAAAGCGTGAACAGAGATGAAAGGCAGGGAAAAAACAATGGCTCTAAATTAGGTTGTGCTGCCATAAACAGGACTGTATCCTCCGTAATCATAGGAGATGCTGGCTCGGGGGAGTCTATGGCTCTGCTACGAAGTCTGGGTTCTTTCCACATCCCCCTGGTGAGACATCTGAGCTCTTTTGTTGTGAAAATGCCATTAATATGTCTTTCTGACAGGTTAAATAAACCTTTTATGATTTCACCATATTACTGAAAAATTGTCAATGCCTGTAAAAAGTGTTTCACGAAACCATAACTGTTCATAAGTGACCCCATTTTTAACGTTCATGCATTTTGCAGCTAATTCTGTGTGTTTTGAAAATGCAGTGAAGTAAGATTTCCTCAACTCGTGTAGAAAAACTCATTTAAAAATGCAAAATAAACCAAGTTGGTGGATAGTGGAAGATTGTTTTCACTGGAAATTTGCTGAACATTGTGTTTCATTGTACTATTGTGCTCACAGTGTTGAACATGACAAAATCTTACTTTCAAGCTATAATTTTCCCCTCACAGCTCCCTTTTTCAAGTGAAGGCGTAGCTGTGCACCACTGAATGCTTGTAATGACAGCGGTATTTTTGGCGAAACCTGATGCTTGTTCAACAGCCTATTCAGCAAAGACAGAGAGCAAAAGGTTAACTACTATTTTCTACTATTCCAGGTGAGCTATTTTGCATCCTGCAGCTGTCTGAGCAACCAAAGGGAATTTCCCACCTTCATGCGCACCATGCCCAGTGACACCTTCCAGGTCAGAGCCCTGGCTCAGCTCGTCAGCTACTTCAGCTGGACTTGGGTGGGAGTCATCGGTGTGGAATCCGATTACGCCCGCTTTGCCATCCAGCTCTTCCTTCAGGAGTCAGTGCAGTACGGCGTCTGTGCTGCCTACACTCACTTCTACCCTGTAACGCTCAGTCAGCAGGCTCTGGATGAGCTTCTGGATGTTATTCAGGTATCTCTGCATCACGACAAATTCCTCATATGAGAGGGTAAACGTAGAAAATGAAGATTACATAATAAGAAACACATGCAACAAAGGCTGCTGTATGATTTTTAAAAGATGCTGCATCAACTGTACATTCATTTGGGGCTGTAGATTGTGGTGTGTTAGTGTATAGTCAACGTAACAACATAATAAAATGTAGATTTCTTCAACCAGACAAAATAGCCTGCTATAATGTTGTTTTCTATGGCATTACTATGTTTTGATACCCTCTAAAATTAGAAAATAATAACAAGAGTAATTGTTTCATTGCTGCAGTAGCTTTTAATTGATGTTCAGTTGTAGTTTATTAACAGTTGAAAAAGTCTCTTATGTTACATTAATTAATAATGAAAATACTTGAACATGAGTTGTAGTTTATATAAAATAGACAATGTGAACAAACCATAATTCAATCTTGATACTGTTTAAATAATACATTAAATCTCCTTTTCACTCATTAGATGTCGTCGTCAAAGGTCATCATTAACTTTTGTAGTGAGTCGGAGATGCAGGGCATTCTGAGAGAGGTCCGACGTCGAAACATATCCGGCCTGCAGTGGATCACCAGCGAGGCCTGGGCCACCGCCAAATCTCTCTGGGAAAAGTCTGCAGATCTCCTGACGGGGACGCTGGGATTTGCCATCCGAAGGGCCGCCGTGATTCCAGGGCTGAAGCGACATCTCACCAGCCTCAATCCAGCCCACATTCATAAATCGGCTTTCTTGGCAGAATTTTGGGAAGAGACGTTCAAGTGTCGTCTCAATGGGTCAGTGAACAAACACTCTCATGGGGCTGTCAGCTACCTGGACAGACCGCCGTGTGACGGGATGGAGGATTTAAATGATGTTTACTCTCCTTATTCTGATGTGACACAGCTGAGAGTGTCTTATAATGTCTACAAGGCCGTGTATCTGGTGGCTCACGCTTTGCAAGACATGAGTATTTGCAAAATTGGAAAGGGGCCTTTCTTAAATGGCACCTGTGCAGACCCAAAGAATTTTAAACCTTGGCAGGTGAGACTAATTGTAGGTTAAATATGATCACGAAGCCCTATATTTTATGTTTAAATAACCTGTTTCCCTTCTTCCTTTAGCTCATTCACTACATGAAGCGTGCAAATTTTTCTGCACTGGGGGAGAAAATCAGCTTCGATCAAAACGGAGACCCCATTGCTTATTATGATCTACTGAACTGGCAGAGGAGGCCTGACGGCTCCTTACATTTGGTTAAAGTAGGTTTCTACGACGCCTCGTCGTCCGCTGGACGAAGCCTGGTCATAAACGACTCAGCGATCCGGTGGCCTTTAGGGAAGCAGGTGTGTTCTCTGCAAACAGGCTTGAGGCCTTGTTCACCTCTCAGACTCTTGTATGCACTGTTGATCAAAACATCAGCTCATTTGTTCTTATTTTTGTGCAACATATTTCAATGTCACCTCGAAATATAATCTACTCAATTACATGTTAATGCTGCAAATATAAACATCATGAAAGACCCCATATTGTAACAACTTGCAGTTAAATATAATGACCACATTAATTTATGAATAGGTAATAGTTAAGCTGATTATAAAAATGGAAATGTTATTTTAGAGATTTACTAAATTAATGTAGTAGTAAAAATATTACTATATGTGCAGTACCATTCCTACGTTCTTTCTTTCTTTTTTTTTAAATGTCTTATTAAAGCTCAAAAATACAGCAACTATATTGCAAGAAAATAAAAGCTATAACATATTATTAATATTATGCTACTGACCCTAGTGAGGATTAAGAGGTGTATAGATGATGGATGGATTAAGTTGCTGGTATTGTATAATCGTCATTATAACATTGCACCCGATGAATATCTAAAGAGCATTTCACTATTGATCATCCGGTGATTAAAATAGTTTGTGAAAATGTATGACTCTTACACTATTACTTCCTCTTTGTAGTTTTATCATCAGTTTTTTTTTTCAGATTTATCAGTAACTTCTTTTTCTGATCTTGTGAGATTCAATTTGCAAAACTATTTCCACTTTTTTAAAATATACCTATTTTCTGAAGATGATAGTATAATAATGGCTTTCTGAGTGGCTCAACTTTGCCTCTCAGGCTTTCCGGTCTGTGTGCAGCGACAGTTGTCCTCCAGGTTCTCGCATCGCCAGGAGAAAAGGGGAACCCATCTGCTGTTATGACTGTGTCCCATGTGCAGAGGGAGAAGTTAGTAATATGACTGGTGAGTTCTGTCTTTTATCACTCTTTTCTTTCAATTTCTTTTTATCCAAGCATAAACTGACCTTTCATTTAAACATGGTGTTGCTAAACTAAAAATAATAAGTTCTCTTCTCTTTCCGTTCACCAGATGCTTTAGAGTGCTCACGCTGCTCAGAGGACACATGGTCCAATAATGCCAGAAATCTCTGCATCCCAAAGACTATCGAGTACCTGTCTTACCACGAGTTGGTGGGTATTCTGTTGTGTGTTGCATCTGTCCTCGGAGCTTTTATTTCCATCTCCATCATTGTCCTGTTCCACACATATAAAGCCACACCACTGGTTCGGGCCAACAACATGGAGTTGAGCTTCCTTCTCTTGGTGTTCCTTGTCGTCTGTTTCCTTGTTGGCCTCTTGTTTATTGGGGAGCCTTCAGACTGGCTTTGCCGCATCCGGTACCCAGCATTTGGGATCAGTTTTGCCCTCTGCATTTCCTGCCTGCTGGCCAAGACAGCGGTGGTCCTGATGGCTTTTCGAGCAACACTGCCAGGAAGTAATGTCATGAAGTGGTTTGGATCCAACCAGCAGAGAGCCAGTGTGCTTTTAGGAACAGCTGTCCAGGTAGAAAAACTGTCCAGCTTGGCTAAACAAATATCATTTTACCTGTCTCAGTTGAATAACAACACTGTTTTCCCTCCACTCAGGTAATAATCTGTCTTATCTGGCTGCTCACCAGTCCACCTCACGCCACCAGTAACACAGATTATCACAGTGCCACCATCATCATTGAGTGTGTGACTGGTTCAGAGGTTGGCTTCTGGTGTGTTCTTGGATATATCGGCATCCTCGCCTGCATGTGCTTCGTAACGGCTTTTTTGGCACGAAAGCTACCCGATAATTTTAACGAGGCAAAATTCATCACCTTCAGCATGCTGATATTCTTCGCAGTGTGGATTACTTTTATCCCAGTTTATGTGAGCACGGCTGGAAAATACACCGTGGCTGTTCATATTTTTGCTATTTTAGCCTCGGCCTTCGGGCTCCTTTTTTGCATTTTTGCTCCAAAGTGCTACATCCTGATTTTGAAACCGGAAAAGAACAGCAAGAAACACATGATGCAAAGGTGAAGGTACATTATGTGTTCAGAAAAATCATGTGTGAAAAAAATAGACATTTAAACGACATATCTCTGTGTTGTTCATGCTGGAATTACAATAAAGCTGTTGATATACTATTGTCTCAATGTTATTAAAGCCATTTCCCCCACCCCTATGGAGCAGCTTTTCATGTCCCAAACAGTAGAAAGTGTACATGTATATATTTGTTTATATAATTTTAATTTAATTCTTTGCCAGGACATTGGAGTAAACATCATTTCGATTACTGCGATATGCAAAATGTTGTCACACAGACTTTGAAATAAACAGAACATGGTGAACATTGTACTGATGTATTCTTTCAAGTTATTTAAGTCATTAAATAATGAATACTTGGAGACAGTGAGGTTTTTGAAACTTTTATTTTGTTGATAATGAATATTTGAAAGTGTCAAAAAATACAGCAGATTATTGTCTGATTAAAAAATAAGAATAAAGGAACGTATAGCATATTTGCACTATATTTAATATTGCTAAGTGGTGAATTACTCAACTTTGTAGAATGTATGTTAAATGCAAACATTAAAACATGTCCTTAAAATCAAGGACTTTATATTCTATAACACACAGTTGCTATCTGTTGTACAGGGCAAAATTAACAAGTTCTGCAGAAAAGTTGCTGTTTTAATTTTTTTTTTGTTTAAACAAAACACCATCGTACATTAAATACAAGTATGTCAGAAGTGATACGACTTGTTAAAATAAAGAAATCATACCTTTTTGTTCTCCTTTATTCCCATGACATGTTTCTTGGTATTTTTCTCTGGCTTCACCAATATTATATAACATTTGGGTGCAAAAATACTACTTAACAAGCCAAAGGCTGAAGATAAAATTGCAAATATTTCCACAGCCACAGTGAACTTTCCAGGAGAGCTGATGTATGCTGGGATAAATGTGATCCAGACAGCACAGAATATCAGCATGCTGAATGTGATAAATTTGGCTTCATTAAAGTTATCAGGC